CCCTGAACTTGACCCAACCATTCACGGACTTCGTTGCTTACTTCTTTAAAATCCCGAAATAATATTGTCCTCCCATCTACGTCTCGATCTACCCAGTGGTCTTTTCCCATTCGGTATACCGATCAGTATTTTGTGCACCGTTCGATCCACCCTCATGCACGCCACGTGACCTGCCCATCTTAATCGGCGTGATTTTACGACGTTAATGATGTTCGGTTTTGTTATACAGTCGGTGTACTTCAACGTTATGGGGTTTTCTCCATTCACACGTTTCCTCATTGCGTTTTGCATCGAACATTTTACGAAACAACTTTATTTTCGAAAACCTTCATTTTCTATGTAAGTGACCACGTTTCGGTACCATAAAGGACTACTGGTAGGATGATTGTCCTGTATATCCTGATTTTGAAGCGTCTCAACAGTAACCAATTTATTGACCGAATAAAACATGCATTACTTAAATTGATTGTTTGCTTAATTTCTAGAATATGTGAATAAAGGTTTGTTTTAGTCTTTTTGAAACTCTCTTTAGGGTTACGTCAGGGTTTTGTCAAGGTTTTATTAAGGTTTTTTCAGGATTTTGAGTCAAGGTTTCTTTAAATCTTATTCTTCGTTTATTTCGTTCGTCTGATTTATGGGGGGGGGGGGTTCCTATTAGATTAATTATTAAAATATCTAACACGTTTAGTTCATAGTTCATCGTTAGTTACTAGTGACTGACACTGAACTTTCCGTTCAGGCCGTGTCAGTCATCGGTGCTTGACGTTCAGCCTTTCGTTTTGCTGCACGTGGCCTGACGACAATCTTCGTTAGAATTCTTGTAGTTTTTATCGTGGTAATTGAAGAAGGAAAATCGAAAAGGGTATTGAGCATATATATGGGTTTCTGGATACACGTGTGTGTTTTTTGGATTGAAAAAATAAATACAATATGATGTTCAACTGTCTTTGGTTTAATATTATACAACTGAGTGGGCCTTATGAGATTACGGGGCCCGTTTACATATTATTACATATACACACGTAGAATTGATTTTGTTTTTGTTCATTTTCAAATCTGTTGCATTATCTGATTTGTTTTTATGTACAACATATATATAGGTATATAGATATACATATATCCAACGATTTGTAACATTATCTTAAAACACATCGTTTAAACGTTCATATCTCGATAATCAGAGATAATATATTTAAAAAAAAAAAAAATCATAAATCTATGGTTTGTTTTTATTATTATAACCATGATAAAAATCCATTTGTAAAACCAAGAGATACAGTCTATTTTTTTTTCCACTTCTTTCTTTTCAACTTTTTTTTTTTTTACTTTTTTTCTTGTTTTTAATTTTTTTTTTTTTTGACAATAAATAAAATCCTCGTTTTTTTTTTTTTTATTGACACGTAATAATTTTTCTAAAATAATTTTATTTTATTTTAA